GTGTGGTCACAGTGTCCTGGTGGTGTTAGTTTGGTCACAGTGTCCTGGTGTTGCTGGTATGATCACAGTGTCCTGGTGTTGCTGGTGTGGTCTCATTGTCCTGATGTGGTCACAGTATCCCAGTGTTGCTGGTGTGGTCACAGTGTCCTGATGTGGTCACAGTATCTTGGTGTTGCTGGTGTGGTCACAGTGTCCTGGTGTTGCTTGTGTGGTCACAGTGTCCTGGTGTGGTCACAGTGTCCTGGTGTTGTAGGTGTGGTCACAGTGTTCTGGTGCTGCTGGTGTGGTCACAGTGTCCTGGTGTTGCTGGTATGATCACAGTGTCCTGGTGTTACGGGTGTGGTCACAGTGTCCTGGTGTTGCTAGTGTGGTCACAGTGTCATGGTGTTGCTGGTGTGGTCATAGTGTCCTGGTGTTGTTGGTGTGGTCACTGTCCTGGTGTGGTCACAGTGTCCTGCTACTGCTGGTGTGGTCAGTGTCATGGTGTTGCTAGTATCGTCACAGTGTTCTGGTGCTGCTGGTGTGGTCACAGTGTCCTGAAGGGGCAACAGTATCCTGGTGTTGCTGGCATGGTCACAGTGTGCTGCTGTGGTCACAGTGTCCTGCTGGTGGTGTTGTGGTCACAGTGTCCTGCTGGTGGTGTTGTGGTCACAGTGTCCTGGTGTTACTGGTATGGCCACAGTGTCCTGGTGTTGCTGGTATGGTCACTCTTCTGGTGTTGCTGGTGTGGTCATAGTGTCCTGGTATTGCTGGTGTGGTCACAGTGTCCTGGTGTTGCAGGTGTGGTCACAGTGTCCTGGTGTTGCTGGTGTGATCACAGTGTCCTGGTGTTGCTGGTGTGGTCACAGTGTCCTGGTGTTGCTGGTGTAGTAACAGTGTCCTCGTGTTGCTGGTGTGGTCACAGTGTCCTGGTTGTTGCTGGTGTGGTCACAGTGTCCTGGTGTTGCTGGTGTGGTCACAGTGTCCTGGTGTTGCTGGTGTGGTCACAGTGTCCTGGTGTGGTCACAGTGTCCTAATGTTGCTGGTGTGGTCACAGTGTCCTGGTGTTGCAGGTGTGGTCACAGTGTCCTGGTGTTGCTTGTGTGGTCACAGTGTCCTGGTGTTGTTAGTTTGGTCACAGTGTCCTGGTGTTGCTGGTATGATCACAGTGTCCTGGTGTTGCTGGTGTGGTCACATTGTCCTGATGCGGTCACAGTATCCTAGTGTTGCTGGTGTGGTCACAGTGTCCTGATGTGGTCACAGTATCTTGGTGTTGCTGGTGTGGTCACAGTGTCCTGGTGTGGTCACAGTGTCCGGGTGTTGTAGGTGTGGTCACAGTGTTCTGGTGCTGCTGGTGTGGTCACAGTGTCCTGGTGTTGCTGGTATGATCACAGTGTCCTGGTGTTACGGGTGTGGTCACAGTGTCCTGGTGTTGCTAGTGTGGTCACAGTGCCCTGGTGTTGCAGGTGTGGTCACAGTGACCTGGTGTTGCTGGTGTGGTCACAGTGTCCTGGTGGTGTTAGTTTGGTCACAGTGTCCTGGTGTTGCTGGTATGATCACAGTGTCCTGGTGTTGCTGGTGTGGTCTCATTGTCCTGATGTGGTCACAGTATCCCAGTGTTGCTGGTGTGGTCACAGTGTCCTGATGTGGTCACAGTATCTTGGTGTTGCTGGTGTGGTCACAGTGTCCTGGTGTTGCTTGTGTGGTCACAGTGTCCTGGTGTGGTCACAGTGTCCTGGTGTTGTAGGTGTGGTCACAGTGTTCTGGTGCTGCTGGTGTGGTCACAGTGTCCTGGTGTTGCTGGTATGATCACAGTGTCCTGGTGTTACGGGTGTGGTCACAGTGTCCTGGTGTTGCTAGTGTGGTCACTGTGTCATGGTGTTGCTGGTGTGGTCATAGTGTCCTGGTGTTGTTGGGTTTGTGGTCACTGTCCTGGTGTGGTCACAGTGTCCTGCTACTTGCTGGTGTGGTCAGTGTCATGGTGTTGCTAGTATCGTCACAGTGTTCTGGTGCTGCTGGTGTGGTCACAGTGTCCTGAAGGGGCAACAGTATCCTGGTGTTGCTGGCATGGTCACAGTGTGCTGCTGTGGTCACAGTGTCCTGCTGGTGGTGTTGTGGTCACAGTGTCCTGCTGGTGGTGTTGTGGTCACAGTGTCCTGGTGTTACTGGTATGGCCACAGTGTCCTGGTGTTGCTGGTATGGTCACTCTTCTGGTGTTGCTGGTGTGGTCATAGTGTCCTGGTATTGCTGGTGTGGTCACAGTGTCCTGGTGTTGCAGGTGTGGTCACAGTGTCCTGGTGTTGCTGGTGTGATCACAGTGTCCTGGTGTTGCTGGTGTGGTCACAGTGTCCTGGTGTTGCTGGTGTAGTAACAGTGTCCTCGTGTTGCTGGTGTGGTCACAGTGTCCTGGTGTTGCTGGTGTGGTCACAGTGTCCTGGTGTTGCTGGTGTGGTCACAGTGTCCTGGTGTTGCTGGTGTGGTCACAGTGTCCTGGTGTGGTCACAGTGTCCTAATGTTGCTGGTGTGGTCACAGTGTCCTGGTGTTGCAGGTGTGGTCACAGTGTCCTGGTGTTGCTTGTGTGGTCACAGTGTCCTAGTGTTGTTAGTTTGGTCACAGTGTCCTGGTGTTGCTGGTATGATCACAGTGTCCTGGTGTTGCTGGTGTGGTCACATTGTCCTGATGCGGTCACAGTATCCTAGTGTTGCTGGTGTGGTCACAGTGTCCTGATGTGGTCACAGTATCTTGGTGTTGCTGGTGTGGTCACAGTGTCCTGGTGTGGTCACAGTGTCCGGGTGTTGTAGGTGTGGTCACAGTGTTCTTGTGCTGCTGGTGTGGTCACAGTGTCCTGGTGTTGCTGGTATGATCACAGTGTCCTGGTGTTACGGGTGTGGTCACAGTGTCCTGGTGTTGCTAGTGTGGTCACAGTGCCCTGGTGTTGCTGGTGTGATCACAGTGTCCTAGTGTTGCTGGTGTGGTCACAGTGTCCTGGTATGGCTGGTATGATCACAGTGCCCTGGTGTTGCTGATGTGGTCACAGTGTCCTGATGTGGTCACAGTATCCTGGTGTTGCTGGTGTGGTCACAGTGTCCTGATGTGGTCACAGTATCCTGGAGTTGCTGGTGTGGTTACAGTGTCTTGGTGTGGTCATAGTATCCTGGTGTTGATGGTGTGGTCACAGCATCCTGGTGTCGCTGGTGTGGTCACAGTGTCCTGGTGTTGCTGGTGTAGTAACAGTGTCCTCGTGCTGCTGGTGTGGTCACAGTGTCCTTGTGTTGCTTGTGTGGTCACAGCGTCCTGGTGCTGCTGGTGTGGTCACAGTGTCCTGGTGTTGCTTGTGTGGTCACAGTGTCCTGGTGTTGCTGGTGTGGTCACAGTGTCCTGGTGTTGCTGGTGTGGTCACAGTGTCCTGGTGTGGTCATAGTATCCTGGTGTTGATGGTGTGGTCACAGTGTCCTGGTGTTGCTGGTGTGGTTACAGTGTCCTCATGTTGCTGGTGTGGTCACAGTGTCCTGGTGTTGCTGGTGTGGTCACAGTGTCCTGGTGTTGCTGGTGTGGTCACAGTGTCCTGGTGTTGCTGGTGTGGTCACAGTGTCCTGGTGTTGCTGGTGTGGTCACAGTGTCCTGGTATTGCTGGTGTGGTCACAGTGTCCTGGTGTTGCTGGTGTGGTCACAGTGTCCTGGTGTGGTCACAGTGTCCTGGTGTTGCTGGTGTGGTCACAGTGTCCTGGTGATGCTGGTGTGGTCACAGTGTCCTGGTGTTGCTGGTGTGTTCACCGTGTCCTCGTGTTGCTGGTGTGGTCACAGTGTCCTGGTGTTGCTGGTGTGGTCACAGTGTCCTGGTGTTGCTAGTGTGGTCACAGTGTCCTGGTGTTGCTGGTGTGGTCACAGTGTCCTGGTGTTGCTGGTGTGGTCACAGTGTCCTGGTGTGGTCACAATGTCCTGGTGTTGCTGGTGTGTTCACCGTGTCCTCGTGTTGCTGGTGTGGCCACAGTTGTGTCTTCCCTCTTAATCACTTGGACTGTAATCTTATCTTTTGGTTTCAACCTTTTTGAAAACCAGTGTTGTGTAGGTTCACATCTGCCTCTTCTTCCTCCTCACAGACGACTTGTGTTGTTCCTAAGTCTGTCAGGTCATTTCACCAGCTATCACTACCCTACCTTCTCAGCTGATCACAGACTAATAAAGTTAATACTGGAGACACAATAAACATCATTACAGTATAAGTATGGAGAGCATGTGCACATCCACTCAGGTCAAAGGACAAGTGGTCACCACGCACTCTATGTTCTCTTCAAACCTTTTATACTAGTGTTTTATATAATTCAAACAATCAAAGGTTATAGAATTTTGGAATTAGTTAAATAAGGAAAACGCTGTCTAGTTGACATGACTAGCATAGCTTTTTAAGAATGGTAGGAGGCTAGGTGCTAGTGGGGGAACTGCTTAATGCTTCAAAACCAAAATTTGATTATCAATGGAGGCAACTAAATAAATTACACAACTTTTTTTTTTAAGGGTTTTTGGCAAATGATGCAAGGGTTGTGTTGTAAGAGTTTATTGTTCACTATATAGTGTGATTGTTATGTCCATGATTAGTTCGTCAGAGTTGATAGAGATCATATGTACAGAAGTAAGGCAAACTTGATGACAAGTGTTAGGACCACAATATATCCCGGAGAAGCCTTTACTGCTTGCTAGCATACACAACTGTAGCAGATTATACCTACGCTGCTGCATACAATGTGGCAGACCAAGTATATCTATACTGCTGCCTACAATGTGGCAGACTGAGTATATCTACACTGCTACCCTACACAACTATGTCAGAGTACAGTATATGACACTGCTAGAATACACAACTATGTCAGGGTATAGTATATGAACACAACTAGCCTACATGACTATCTCAAGAGTACAGTATATGAACACAGCTAGCCTACACAAGTGCAGCATAGCAAGCATTAACAAGAAGGAAACAACATCGGCCAAATATGGCCACAGAAAGTGAGGAGGAGCTCACCTTTCTCCAGGTAGTGTGGGGGCACAGCAGGCGTGGTGGGTCCTGGCATGCGATGTGGTGCTGGTGTGTCATCCATTGCTACAAGAAACAAACACAGTCATGCTTCATAATTTGTAACTTTCCCTGTTAATGCAAGACATAGCAAGGAATAAGGTGAATTAGGCAAGCAGTATCTCAAACTCCTGTAACAGACACTGCCTGGTATGTAATCAAGTTCAATCCAAAGGAAAGGTCTCTCAAATTTCTCGGATCAAGAGCCCTTCATCAGCATCAAAGACTAATTAAAGTATCTCAGAACCATTAACTCTTCCACTGTCCTTCATGATGATCTATGTTATTGATGCCAGTGGTGCCTATGTAGATCAACATTACTGATGCCAGTGGTGCCTACGTAGATCAACATTACTGATGCCAGTGGTGCCTACGTAGATCAACATTACTGATGCCAGTGGTGCCTACATAGATCAACATTATTGATGCCAGTGGTGGCTACATAGATCAACATTATTGATGCCAGAGGTGCCTATGCAGATCAACATTACTGACGCCAGTGGTGCCTACGGAAATCAACATTACTGATGACAGTGGCGCCTACGTAGATCAACATTACTGATGACAGTGATGCCTACGTGGATCAACATTATTGATGACAGTGGTGCCTATGGAGATCAGCATTATTTATGACAGTGGTGCCTATGTAGATAAACATTATTGATGACAGTGGTGCCTATGTAGATCCATGCTATAATCAGATATCAATTATGCTGTGAGCAATAAATTTTGGCTAAGATACGAGAGAGAGCAAGGAGCTAGTAACCCCTTCTCCCGTATGAATTACTAAATTTAAGAGAAACTTTCGTTTTTCTTTTTGGGCCACCCTGCCTTGGTGGGATACGGCCGGTGTGTTGAAAGAAGAAGAAAGAAAGATACGAGAGACTGGGTGTGTGTACACAGCATAAAAAAAAAGTGCCCCACACAGTGCATGATGGGAATGACTAAACTCTGAACTTGTGTTCAGGCTAAAACTGCAGCTTCGAGGTGCTTTCTAGGATGGTTTCCACTTGGTTTTATTGGCTCTTTCTTAGTGCCAATTGACAGATGGGAAGACATACTAATGAAATGGTGATTGTTTTGGTTAGTTTCATAGTGGAACTGGCCTGAAACATGCTTCAAAGTGGAGAAAAATTTCACTTTAGGCATTTTTCTGAGGAATGGCAGGAAGTCCCCTAAGCTGCCAGTCTGTTTTATGGGTTTTTACTGAGTTGGCTGCAATTATTGGCATAGCATAAACCATTTACCTGGAGTTTACCTGGAGAGAGTTCCGGGGGTCAACGCCCTCATGGCCCGGTCTGTGACCAGGCCTCCTGGTGGATCAGAGCCTGATCAACCTGGCTGTTACTGCTGGCTGCATGCAAACCAATGTACGAGCCACAGCCCGGCTGGTCAGGTACCGACTTTAGGTGCTTGTCCAGTGCCAGCTTGAAGACTGCCAAGGGTCTATTGGTAATCCCCCTTATGTATGCTGGAAGGCAGTTGAACAGTCTCGGGCCCCTGACACTTATTGTATTGTCCCTTAACGTGCTAGTGACACCCCTGCTTTTCATTGGGGGGATGTTGCATCGTCTGCCAAGTCTTTTGCTTTCGTTGTGAGTGATTTTCGTGTGCAAGTTCGGCATTAGTCCCTCTAGGATTTTCCAGGTGTATATAATCATGTATCTCTCCCGCCTGCATTCCAGGGAATACAGGTTCAGGAACTTCAAGCACTCCTGTAATTGAGGCATTTTATCTCTGTTATGCGCACCGTGAAAGTTCTCTGTACATTTTCTAGGTCAGCAATTTCACCTGCCTTGAAAGGTGCTGTTAGTGTGCAGCAATATTCCAGCCTAGATAGAACAAGTGACCTGAAGAGTGTCATCAATGGCTTGGCATCCCTAGTTTTGAAGGTTCTCATTATCCATCCTGTCATTTTTCTAGCAGCTGCAATTGATGGCTCATCATTGTTGTTAATATTTTATTAAACCAGGAAATAGGGAAACTTGGATTTTTAGTGTGATGGATTCAAAATGGAGAGCAAGTTTTATATAGGAGAGGCCTGGTGATGTAATTAACAAACAAATACTTGGTATAGCAGAGAGATATTTGTTTCTCGTATTGTGACTGTGTTCTAAGGTAACTCTCTAGGAAGAGTCAAGAGCGCTGGCTTGGTATTTGAACTAAGTGTCTAGTATATATAATACGCATAGTAGTAGGTGTCACATGATTTGTATATTAAGTAAATTGAGACTTGAATACTTGGAGTGTGTGTTGTCTTGGAACCAAAATGACTTATCATTCTGACAGTTGATGTTTGTTGGGTAACAATGAATTACTGTACATCTGATTTAATTGTAACAGATCCCCAAGTACAGATGATATAAGTGCACAAGGGATGGGTTAGAAAGTACAAAGCAAGTAATGTTGTCTGCAGAACATAAACTTTTGAAACTATGGCTACAGTTAACCCGTAAACGGTCCAAACGTATATAATATACATTTTTACCTCTAGTGCCCCAAACGTACATATACATTTTATTTGTCATACATTCAACATTGCCACAATAAGCCTGAGTCACCTAGACATGAGAGAATGGGTGTGCGCACTCACTGTGCGCCATATTAAAATAACTGGGGATGCCTGGGTTCCATATGCTCTTTTTTCCTATTAAAAAAAAAAATTATTTTTTCAAAAAATTTGGGGCACTACGCGAGAGAATGTATATATATGTTTGGACCATTAACGGGTTAAATAAATTTCTTGGATAGGTAAAAGATGTGAATGTTGAATTTTAGGTTATAGTCAAGGTGTATATCTAGAAATTTTCCATTTTCTTGGTCTCTATGAGCTACAAGGTATATATTCTTATATTAAATTCAGTGATTTTTAGCTTTACTTGCAAACATCGTGTAGATCTTATCAATACTAAGGGTAAGCTTGCTGGCTATCATCCAAGTAGATCTTGTCACATACTTCACATTGACTGAGTTTGAAATAACAAAAGGAGAGTTGGAAATAAATGGTATAAAATACTGACACAATAAAGGATCACATTACGTATACATGTACTGCTTCTGTGTTTATTTTTCCAAAAGTAGAGTTATCAGCAAACAAGACTTCTTTAAGTTACTATGAGGAATTAGGTTGGTCATTAATGTAGACAAGAGCCTAGGGCACTGCCCTATGACATCCATATATTGACAGGTTGGACTAATGAAGTAGTAGTACTAATGCACACATGCTGGCATCTACCAGTAAGGTAGGACTTAACTATTTCACTGCCTGTCACGTAGAACTATGCCATTGAAACCAGAGTCCCTTAACCCTTTGACTGTTTCCGACGTATAAATACGTCTTACGAGCCAATGTTTCTGACGTATTTATACGCACAAATTCTAGCGGCTTCAAATCGAGCGCCAAAGGCCTGATAGGCCTACACAGGAGAGAATGGGTCTCAGTGGTCGGTGTGCACCCTGTGAAAAAAATCTGGGACCTAGCGGTGCATTGTGGGAATGCCATGTTGTCAGTCCATTTTCACCATGCCTCTCGGTAAGAAGTTCCTCACTCCTCGGCGGATTGGAGGTCTTTTGTTCCCAAGTGATAGCTCTAACTAGCGATGAAAGTGTCAGTGACAGTGAATTCAAGGGTTTTTCAAGTGAGTGTTACCGAAAAAAAGTGCCCAGGATAACGTAAATAGTGACGAAAACCCAGATGACCCACAACCTTCGACCTCTGGTGCTGTGCCGGCTTGTTCACGTTCACGTTCGCCTGTACCAGGACGAAAGAGGAAACTATTTGGTCGTGTACAACACCCTGATGATAGCAGTGATAGTGATAGTGATTTCAAGGTCATTGAAAGCAGTTCTAGTGACAGTGAGAGTGAATATTCCCCAGTGAAGCGCCAATATGTACGACAGTAGCATGCGGTCTGGTAGTGTTTCATATGTTGTTCCAAGGGGAAGGAGAAACTCTGGGAGCACATCCCGTGGCCCAACACCACGACCTGATAGTGAAGATGACGATATTGTAACGATGGGTATGAATGGTGACAGTGAGGGAGGAGGCAGTGGTGGTGATAGTGAGGGTGGCACGGCCCATGTGGCACCATCACCGGGCCACGCTACTAGCCACGCGGCATGACTCAGCAGAACAACCAGCCTCACCCTACCCCACACTGCCACAACCTGCACCACCACAACCTGCACAGCCACAACCACAGCCAACCACGGTACAATATCCAGACCCCACCAGCAGACCGCATCTGGGATGGCAGGACGGTGACGAGTTTGTTCCCAGTCCCCATGACTTTGATGAAACACAAAGTGGAATAAAGCCATCTTGTCCACTTGGGAACAATGCCAGTGAACTGGACTGCTTTGAGTTATTCTTCGATGAACCCCTGATGGACATCATTGTCAGGGAACCAACACATACTGTGAATACACCATGGCAAATACATTCTCTCACCAAAATCACGGCTACACAAGTGGAAGGAGACAACTGTGGCAGAGATGTACTGTTTTTTGCCACAATAATGCTTATGCCACATGTGTAAAGCACACTGTCACACATACTGGACAACAGATCGCCTGATTTCAAACTCCAGGTTTTAGTGACATTATAGGTGGCAATCGTTTCCTGATACTGTTGCGTATGTTACACTTTCAGACAAAACCAGGCCCTGACAGAAGCGACAGGTTATATAAGATAAGAAATGTGTTTATGTACCTGAAACAAAAGTGCTGCATGTATTTTTATCCTTCAGAGAGCTTGTTATTGATGAGTCCTTGATTTTATTCAAAGGAAGACTCTCATTCAAGCAATATATACCAAGCAAGAGAAACGCTTTGGTATAAAGCTATTTGTACTGTGTGATTGCAGAAGTGGTCTTGTTTTAGATATTATTGTGTACACTGGCAGTAATACTTGAGAGATACCATGAAGTTATTGGGTATCTCTGGTGATGTGGTTCGAACAATGATGGAACCATATCTTGGTAAGGGGCATATGTTATTTACTGATAACTGGTACACATGCCCCTTAC